ACGTGGGAAAGTCACGTGAAGGGCGACCTGCTCCCGTCAGAGCAGGACGCACACGTCAGACCTGCCAAGTGATATGGAGCCCACACGCGTCCTTTCTCCTGCAGCAAGTCGTGCGATGTCAGCTTGGAAAAAGGGAAATGGGACGTAAAGCCGGATTAGGTACTGACAATCACACCCAACCACGGATTGAGTGATGATTATACGCTTCAGTCCAGTATAAAATAAGGAAGACCCCTTCATTAAGGGGATTCGACCATTTTTCATACAGAAAAAGAAATCTCTCTCTCTTGTAAACTTTTCTTTGACTTTTTCGTCTGATGTAAGTCAGCTCGCGACCGCGATCTGACATCCACTAATATCAATACAAATCAGTGGACGTAGGACTTGCTACCTTAGCATCCGAACCACTTAAAAAACTCCTTCTACAGTTCACTTTTCATATATTTCATTTTCGCGTGTATCGAACAACCAATCAACATTATACACGTAAATATTCGTTGGTGTAAAAATTGAGCATCAACACATGTGTTTCATTTTTTTTTTTTTTAAGACATATATATGATTTCTGCTTTTTAGTTTTAATGACTTTTGAGAAAACTACTGAGTACATTGTGGAGAAGCAGTTGTTTCGTGTCTACACTTAATTGTTATTGATTTTACTTTTAATTTTCTCAGCTTAACGTTAATGTTATTTGATTCATATGTTTAATTTGTTTATTTTGCACTTCTGGTAGCAATGTCTTATCGTCGTAGCCTCTCGACCAGAGCAACGCTTATTGCTTGAGTTAATAGTCCCTCAATTAGCTACATTCTCCATTATCACGAACGCAAACAGAACTCTCCTGACAAAACTTTGTCTCAGCAAAAAATTTATAACTTTATTCAGCCAAGGTTCTTTGGAAACAGCTTCAATGATTCATATGGATTTGGTGGTTTGTTCCCCGATAAAAGAATTTCGCAATTTGTTCTTGCGCCAAGTGCAGGTTTTGCTTATTGTCGGTATATGTCAACTACTATCGGTGAAGGGTCGGGGAACATTGAATCGATGAGTGATGTGGCAGAGGTTTTGAAGGATACAACTATACAAGCGGTTGCTAACCAGGCCTCGGCGGTGAATGAAATTGTTGTTGCTGCTGTTGATTCTACCTTGCCTGTCGCAGCGTTGCAGCATTTTATTGATATAGAGCTGATAGGGCTCTAAACGAGCCGAGCCTAGTGTCACCCTAAACGAGCCTGACTCGGTTAAGCATTAAATGAGTTCGAGCCGAGTCACGAGTCAGTCGAGTCATGAAAATTTGACTCGTGACTGGCTCGTGACTCGACTCGTTTATAATCGAGCCAGCTTGTGACTCGACTCAAACTCGCTTGACTTGACTCGAAAAGCTTGATTATGACTCGATTAACTTGAGCTTGAATTAGCTCAATTATGGCTCGATTACGGCTCGTTTGACCCATTTTTTATGTAACTCCTATATCTTGTTTTATAGAAATCAGATCCAATTTTTGGTAAATTTGCATCCAAATCAACACATCAATAATGTATTACACAACAAATTATAAAATCCTAAAACTTTAATTGGGGTTTGGGTTAATTTGTAACATTTCAAAACTTTTACATGTCAAATTACAAAGCAGACCTAAAACTTTTATTTTTTATTTTTTGCAAAAAAACCCTAAACGAGCTGAATTGAGTCGAGCCGGAGTAGATTCGAACTCGGCTCGCTACCTAATTCGAGCCGGCTCGACTCGATTATAATCAAGCTGAGTTCGAGTATTTAACAAGCCGACTCGCGAACGGCTCATCTCGGTTGACACCCCTAAGTGCATAAGTTCAGCGGCTTTACCTGGTAAGGAACTATTTGCATTTGTTTAGTTTATACTCGAATGGATGCACATAAGAATGTTAATATTTTTTAATTAATTTCTTAACGTATGACTTATGTTCTCATGACCAATGACAATCTGAGCTAGTGTAGTGTTAATGTGGAATATGTTGGATTTTGCTCCTCTAATAAAATAAATTTATAACTAAAGAATATACTCCTTCAAAATGGAATATGTCATATTTTGTTATTTTGTTTATAGTACTAGCAAGGTTTTTATGAGATGCCATGGATTTTTTTTTTTTATTATTTATTTATTTTGTATGTGTGTATTGATTGTTGACTTTATCAGTGGGCTTCTATAGTTGTGACTGCTCTTTTGATTCGGAGTGCAACACTTCCACTTTTGATCAATCAACTTAAAGTAAGTCCGAATGCAACAGTATGTACTCAATACTGCAAGGGTTTTGTCTCTCATTCATGTGATATACATTTTGAAAACTATGGAACTGAAATTCCATTTTTATACCAATCAGTTCTAACAAGAGGGTGTTCATCCTTCTTGCTATAAGGGAAGGAATAGTATTCTCGATTAATATATGGTAGGGTTGCAAACAAACCGAACACGAATAAACACCCTCGTTCTAAAATCGTTCAATAAGCACAAAGGGGTGTTCGAAATCTGTTCGAACTCGAACGAATACAGAATGACCGTTCAATTTCGTTCGATTAACAAAACGAACTGTTTGTGATCGTTCGATAAATTGTTTGAATAACTTGTAAATACCTCTCTCTCTTTTAGCATGGACGTCAGCGGTTACACCCATGACCTCTCACTCCCTGTCATCAATTCGTTTATGCAAAAATTGATTTCACTTTCATTGTTAGCTGATAATAAAGCAAGAATTGGAAAATGATTTTGAAATAAAATTTAACACCTTCCAAAATTGCAAAACGGCAAAATGGGGGTTGAGGCGTTGATCTCTTTTGGCCTTTGGAGTCTAAAGCAAAACGACAAAAGGGAAAATGGGGGCTAAGGCTAATTGCTAAGTGCTGAGGCACTGTTGCATTGAGCAACGCCTAATTGAGGTATTCAAATCTGTTACCCAAGTCCACTTTCAAGCTAAGCCTGCCTAATCCTGAAGTAGAGCTCGAGACCCCACCTCCACAGGCACCCAAGTTAGATGTGAGTGCACAAATGGGGATCCGAACGCAAGAATTCTAGCACAGCCCGAAAATCAATAGCTCTCTTCCACCGTAATATGCCAATAATTATTGGTTTTATAAAAATTTCTTATACAAAAATGATGTGACGGGAGATGAATACAAAATTGAATACAAAAAATTAAACATATTATGAAAATTGAATACAAAAGATTAAACATATTATATTCACCTTTTTATTCTTCATGTATCACATTGTTTTGTACAAGGATAGTATTATCCATATGTTAAATAGGCCCAATTATGGGCTACATCCAATTTGAATGCGGGCTTTGTGTAGAGCTTATATTGGCCAGAGCAAACATTAGGCCCAGCACGGAAACTTCATAACCGTCTGAAAATTTTGCGGTTTCCAAGAAAAAAAACAACTTTAACGGGCCCTTGTGATTACATTGACCGTTTTTGTTTTTTTTTTTGGGAGTCCATCTATATAAACAATTCATGTTTGAGTAAAGGTAATCAATTCCCTTTAGTCACTGCTTTGACTACCTTAAGGCGATTCTTGGCAGCCACCAGCTAACTGGAGATTGGAGAAAAAGACCTGGGTCAGTTATCTCTTCATCTTTAGGCGTGTAGCCCTGGCAAAATTAAGCATGTCCAAATCAAACAAAGCTAATTGTCTCTTGCCAGTATTAATAAAAGATTCAAAGTTTTTGAATAAATGACCTTTCCCAGGTTAGTTACCTACTGCCAGCATCGCACATTTAATAAGGAAATTTTATTATAATTTTTAGTTGTCACGATGTGTTTGACATTCATTTGGGCAGCATCTCAAGTGCTGCAGTGTGGCTCAGCCTCACGAATCTTGTTGTCATTTCAGGTAAAATCCACCTATAAACGCCAAAAGTTTATATTAAGAAGCCGCACCGATGAATCAACAGTGAATTTAACAGCCATACACACAATTAGGTGAAATTTGGTCATTTAAAATGGCAGAGCAAACTGGGTGGAATCATATTAATCTAAGTCGTCATTGCATTAATTCCATTCCACATTTCATTCAATTCCATTCTTGACTTGCATGCAGTTCAAAGCTAGATTGGAATATACTAAAATTGTTTCAACACGGTTTTGACTAGATGGCTAGCTGACCGAGTTAGAAGTAGTAGATCGATGGACCAAAAAAACACAGTTTGAATTGTCTTCTTAGTTGAAATTTTAAGCAGACGAATTCGTTAAACAAAGCAGAAACATATAATTCACGATCAAATCGATGCTTATATTAGACCACTGACCAGGGACCGAATTGCTTCCAAGTTTCCTAGATGGGTCGTTGAAGAAGACAAAAAGGCAAGTCATCTGATGGAAATTACAGCTTGGTTACAAGTTTAGTCTTGCCAATAGATAAGTGCCACGACACTCAAAAACAAAATTATAAGATATATTATATTAATTACCACTCCATATCAAACGTTAAACTCAAGTTAATTATAATTAACTATGATAATTCTTTTGACTGTAGACCCCTCGTTTCCCATGTTGCTGCCTATTAATCCAGCGCGGTGAAACCCTTTTGGCGCTCAAGGTTTAGTTTTGTAGTCAGTCACTGATTAACTTTAAAAAAAAAAAAAAAAAAAAAAAAAAAAAAAATGGTTGCCTCTCAACTCTACTTCTTCTCCTTTTCCTTTGTTTTCTCATCCTTTCTCCGTTTAGCAACCAGCAGCCTTCGAATTTGCCCGGGTTGGTGCGATGGCAGTGGACCAATTATTTTTCCTTTCCGGCTCACCGATCAACTCGAACGTTGTGGGTACCCAGGCTTTGAGCTTTCATGCAAAATGAGTGACGTATTTATCCACCTCCCCAACTCATCGGGAAATGGATTCATTGTCCAAAAGATTGACTACCTATCACAAACTCTATCAATCAACGACCCCGATCATTGCCTCCCTAAAAGATTCCTTGATCACTCTTTTAGCCTTTCGGGTTCTCCCTTTGAACATGTAAGCCCTGTTGAAAACTTCACATTTTTAAACTGTTCGTCCGATCAGATACCGGAAGTCATCGGGTTAAGGTATATTGATTGTTTAAGCGGAGGAAATTATTCGACCGTGGCTATACGAGCTTCTCGTTATAACGAATCTGGGTTATCATTATCAAGTTATTGTTCGAATATTTCCACCATCTTGGTTCCAGTTCTGTGGCCAAGGTGGTCCAATCTTGAAGATGGAGTTCTCTTGAAATGGAGCGAGCCTGATTGTCAATCATGTGAAGACCGACGTGGGGTTTGTGGTTTCAAGAAATTTGAGGGTCAGGATATGAATATTGGATGCGCCAATATTCCCACTGGAACGGGTATGTATTACTGTATTTCAATTACCTTAACCCGATCAGTTTTTTTTTTAATTTATTTTTATGTTGAAAGTTAGAAATTAGAAATTATAATAATAAAGACTTGGTAATCTAGATTATTCGTGGAGGAGAAGATGAACAGTGTTTGATCAAAATCGAAACACAAGTCATAAACGTTAACTTGAATAAGGATGGTTTTATTGGTTCCCGAGTCATAATCAAATAGATGAGGGATCATTTTCGTCCATGTATATAATGGCGCGATCACAAAGTCGGTTGTTTCTGATGGCGCCACGTGGAATTTTAAACGTAGACTAGAGATCCGATCCCATATTTATTAGAATTTTTTTTTTTTGTGGTCAAACAGCGCTAGCTGCTGGTATCCAGAAAGTTGCCGTTTATTTTAACTTATAGCAATAAGAAGGAATCAAACAGTCTATTGTCTAGTTACATAATAGGCTCAATCTCACATCTTTCTTTCATAATCTTCTATATAGCAATTCATCATTTATCAGCTCATAAAATGGGTCTATTTGTTTAGATGGATCCCACCTATTTATTTACGAGCTAATCAATGATAAACTATCATGTCAAAAATTATCATTTATCAGCTCGTAAAATGGGTTCTACTTACTTTTATAGATCTCACTTGTCTATTTACGAGCTAATTAATGACGAGCTATCATGTCGAAAATTGTAACAAAAGGTTATAAGAGAAGTTTGTAGATCTAGCATTATTGACATAATAGAATAGTCAAGGGTCCGTTTGATTTGTTATTTTGGATAAGATTTTGGGAATAATATTTGATAGTTGAATTGGGTGATTATTATGAGGTAAAATTTAAAAACTAACAAAAAAACCTCATAGGTTTGCTAATTTAACTAAACACCCCAATATATAAAAATTTTATAAAATGACAAAAATACCCCCATCCACCAACAGTGCCAGATTCTGGCCACCACCACTGGAATCTAGTCGGAAAATGGCGTTACGACGCAGAACGATCGGATTTGACCGGTCGTGCATCGATATGGTCTTTTTCAGCCATATCCACCACGGATTTGATCGGAAAATGCTAGATCTACGGTCATATCTGATCATAGACGGCCGCAAAATAGATCTAGCCGAAAAAGGTCAGATCGGTGAACTACCGGCCAGTTTCGATCGTTTCTACGCCGTTGTGATAGATTCTAACTACCACCAATGGTGGTTTTCGGAATCTGGCAACTATGGGTGGATGAGGGTGTTTTTGTTAATTTTTAAACTTTTTTCTAGGGTGTTTAAGTAAATTAATAAACTTAAAATGTGTAAAAATAATAAAATAAAATAAAATAATATTTCCTAAATAATTAAACAAAATGCTACTTTGAGAATAGGATAGGGAATATGGTATGAAATAATAAAAGGAACAGACCAATATTCTCAGGATACATATCCAGAAAATCATGGCTCTGTGGAAAGTTTTGCAGAACTCAGATGTTACGCCAGCGTATAGAACGGATGAGAATTTTGTATATGAATAGAACCACGACTTTGTTCCATTTGTTAACATGGTCAACTGATAATGTCATGAAAATGACTATTCAGTTGTTTACTGGTAAGTAGGTAAGAACATAGTTATCAGTAGCTTCAATTATATTTTCATATGCATCTGGTCAATTTTTATTTTATATTTGTTATCATTTCTTCATCGAAAGAAGAAATATCCCTCAGTTGATATTATATTAGATCTAGATCGCTATTGCTGGGTTGATACTCTTAATTTAATGAATACTTATTGAATTATTTGTTAAAACTTGGATTTTATTTTATTAATTTCCAGGTTTTCTTCCAAGGGGTGCCAAGTATGGGATAATCGTAGGCGTAGCAATTCCAGGACTATTGTGCCTCATTGGACTAGGATGTTGCTTGTGTGGCAAGGTGAGGGCTCAATATTACGAGCGCCGTCGCTTAAACAACAGATTGATCCATTCCTTTAGTCTCACAGAACGGCCGGTTGTATTGACGGGTCTCGACAGACCAACCATAGAGTCATTCCCCAAAACGAAGCTCGGAGAAAGCAGACGATTACCGAACCCAAATGACAACACTTGTCCAATTTGCCTCAGTGAGTACCAGGCCAAGGAAACATTGAGGACAATCCCTGAATGCAACCATTATTTCCATGCGAATTGCATAGACGAATGGCTTAAAATAAATGGAACATGCCCACTGTGTCGCAATTCACCAGAAGGCTCTGATATAGTAACACCTTCTATGTCAACTTCTTCGCATTCGTCCCCCTCTTCATTTTCGTCTGTTCCATAGAAGACCATATGGGTTGTACATAAGAGTTTAGTGTGGTTGAATAATTTGTCAGAATTTGCCGTCTTATAGACTCATTCAAATTTAGGTTAAGTTTAATAGTAAGTTATAAACTGTTTTGAATCAGTCTTCTTATTGTAATTTACAAGCAAAGAAATTGAAGGCATATATATTATAAAGAAAGAGATTTATAAATTAGGAAGAACGACTTACACATACCCAAGGTTTATTGTAACGACAAGTTGGTACCCAAAAGGTTTTGAAATGACAAATAGATACTTTCCGTCATGTTCTGTTAGTGATTTCTGTTTATTACTGTTTATTAATAGTGAAAAGACTAAAATGCCCTTAAAAGTTTGAATTTTAGTTTTTTATAAATTTAAAAATTTCAAAAAACCCCCTAAGTTTACAAATTTCACTAAATACCCCAATATATAAAATTTAAACAATAACAAAACACCCCCACCCACCAAGTGCAGATTCCGCGCCACCACCGCCGAATCTGGCCGAAAAGTTACGTTATGACACGACCCGTCGGATCTGTGTCGTAACGATCAGTCTGTCTGGCCTTTTCGCCAGATCCGTGGCTGATCTGGCCGTCGACGCCGCAAAACTCCATCTGTCGGCGTCGAAGGCCAGTCTGGCAGTAGATCTGGCCTTTTCCGCCAGATCAGCCACGGATCGGCCCGGAAAAGGCCAAGTCTGGCGCTGCTTGTTCGACGGCCAGATCTTGCCTTTCCGGCCAGATCCGTGGCGGATCTACCGGAAAATGCCAGATCGGCACGTTACGAACACAGATCCACGGATCTGTGTCGTAATGCGTTTTTCGGCCACTTCCGCGATGGTGGGATGTTTTGTCATTTAACAACCTTTTTATATATGGGGGTTTTTAATTAAATTAGTAAACCTAGGGAGTTTTTTAGAAATTTTAAATTTATAAAAAACAAAAATTGAAACTTTGAAGCATTGGTCTTTTTCACTATTAATAAACAAAAATCACTAACAGAATATGACAGAAGGTACCTATTTCATTCAAAATTTTTTAAATCCAACTTATTGTTATGATAAATTTTGGGTTATGCCCAAGTTGTTCGGCCTGTAAATTAATCAATGTTTATATAAACATCACTTGCCCTACCATGCGTTTGAACGTCGACTTCTGATGTCGGCTCATGGCCGAGTTTTGACTGTACACAAAATTATAGTAGTACATTATGAAACGCATGGCAAGCCTGAAGCACCCTCAATTAATTTTTGAAGTTGAATTTGTCAATAATTAGCTGTTTGTGAACTGTAGATGATGGTCTCATAAAATCCAAATCAGAATTTTGACAAGTGAATATATATTTATAATGCACTCAACTACTTTATTCAAGTCAATTCAGAAAAAAAAACGAGGATTAATTAAGGACAAGTATGAACTTAAAATGTAGATTACCATGACTATTTTTTATATTCAGGTCAAAATTCAAAATTTGATAATTGCCCTATGAATTTATAAAGTCGATATTGATATATATATTAAAGACAATCTTGACCAGTTAAGATAGAGCTTGACTTTCCCTAATTTGCCCCAAATTATAATCTATAATCTCCAATAAAACTTCATTATTTGGTAACCCGCAAGTTCAATAAATTAATGACAAAAAGCCACAAAAATTGAGACAAGCAGGACAAAAATATTCCAAGCATAGAAGATCACCAAATATAGTGGACGTTGGCAACATAAATGCCATGATCTTATATTAAAAAAAAAAAAAAAATGTCACATGACATAAAATTTTTGACTGCCATTGATAGCCACCAGCCACCATCCATCACGCCACCACACGAGTCTCGCGATACCTAAAACAAACGTAGAAATGTTTCTCTTCTGAGCTCACTCATTAAAATAATAATTAAGTTAATTAATAAAGTAATGGAGAATTAAATAGCAGACAAGTGGTTTATGATATGATCACATTGCTTTTCATAACAGTCTACATTTTATTTTCACGAGGCCACCAAACAAAAATGGTTCCCCTGCAACCCTTTGTCTCCTGGTTGTTTTCTCTCTTATTCTTCTTCCTCTCATTGCAACAAGCGCTCAAAACTGTCCGTAACATCTTGTGGAAACGTAACTATTAAATTCCCTTTTCAGCAAGTCAGAAATCGATTTCGAGGCGACGTCACTTCTCGTTTTTCGTTGTGGCTATCCAGGTTTTGGTCTACGTTGCAATTACCAGAACCAAACATTCTCACTATAGAATCAGGGCGTATGTTGGTCCAAGATATCGACTACGATACCCAAACCATATTGATCAAAGACCCACAAACTGTCTTCCAAAACAGTACCTTAACGGGATAGTTCTTTGATTCTCCCTTCTATCCATATTCTTATAGCAACTTCACGTTTTTCAATGTTCAACAAACACCACGTTAGTCACTAATCGGTATAGACCTATCGTTGTCTCAGTGAGTGAAACAACACGTGCATAGCTTTGCCATCCCTGTTTTATGATGAGTCGAGGTTGCCTTCGAATTCTGGTGAAGAACTTCGACTGTCTCGGTTCCGCATTTGGGGGTTTGGTCTGATCTTGAAGACGCTTACGTTAATTGGAGTTCTCCCTCTTTGAACGCTGTGACTGCGTGTGAGGCTTGTGGTGGGTTCAAGAATGACTCTGGTTTGGGGTTGAATGCTCCATCCTTCAGGCTCCAATGGTATGTCATAATCTTTCACATCTTTTTTTTTTTTTTGGGTTGTACTTGCAGATTAAGCATGATTAAACGTTTTAGTTAGGTTGAATTTAGCATAAGCAATGAACAGTGTTTGATAAAAACAGTACAGCACGATCAATGGTAGAAGTCAAACAATTGGCTAGAGGTTCGCAGTGGTTCCAATGTCCATATCTTTTGGACGCATCGTTTTTCTTTTGAAAAACATGCGGCCCAATCACTTAGGGCCAATGTAATTTTGGACCAGTGGCCATTCAATTGGCCTTAGCGAGCGTAGATTTCCACCAAACTCAAGATGAAACACTAGCTATTCGCAAGTACAAACTAGGCCCAACTTTTATTGGCACATTCAAAGTTTAGTCTTTTCAATCAAAAAATACTTTCTTAGAATCAGACCTTTTAACTCATCTTTGGGGACTTTATGATTCTAGGTCTTTTCAGGGAACCAAATATGGCCATAATCTTGGAGTTGGAATACCGGGGGCGTTATGCATTATTGGGCTCGGATGTCTTCTCTGTAAGAAGGGCTACAGAAAATTATAATAGTCAGCGCCACCTGCTCAATGCCGATTGTTCCAACTCAATTGCGCAACCACAAGGTCTGGGTCGTGATTCTGACAGGTCTTGACGAACCTACAATAGAGTCTTATCCAAAAACTTTGTTAGGTGAAAGTGGGCGACTGCCTAAGCCTAATGACAACACTTGTCCAATATGCTTATCTGAGTATCAACCTAAGGAAAGCTTGAGGACCATACCCGAGTGCGAACATTACTTCCATGCTGATTGCATTGACGAATGGCTCAAAATGAATGCCACGTGTCCATTGTGTCGCAATTCACCGGAGAGTTCTGCTGGAACCCCTTCTTCTACCTTAACATCTTCGCATTCATCTGGAACCCCGTCTTCTACCTCAACATCTTCACATTCGCCGACAGGATTATCACCTTAGACCAAAGTTTCTACTTATAATTTTGTATAAATGAAGTATATATATTTAATTGAGATTTAGTTTCTATATGTTCACTTTTATTTTGTACTCATAGAAAGTATATTTCTATGTCACTGAATTTACAATGTATGATACAAAGAGAACAAAATTAAAGGAAAAAAAATTGCCAAATGTAGTTGAAATAAGGAGATTTAAAGTTTCGACCTCAATCTCAATCTTCGTTCTAAGACATACATGAACCAAATAGAATAAGGTGATATTCAACTCCATTTATATTTATTTCTGGTTTTTACATTCATGAGATTCCTATGATGGAAGCAAGGATTGAATGAGAAAAAAAAATTCAGCGCATAAGTCTCAACTATCATCCTCAAGATATGGAAGAGCATGAAACATTTGTGATTATGAATTTAAGCTTAATTAACTACAATAAACACCAACCTATGTATATATATACACGATTTTCCCTTCGCCTTATCACTCAGCAACGTATAGTATAAGAATTAGGTGATCTCTGCAATAAATCAACAAAAATGTCTCGGCTGATTCTTGTTTTCATCGCCACTCTCTCACTGATTTCTAGCTCTGCAATGGGGACTGCGCCCACGTGTGACTTCGTAGTACTACAGTTAAACCCTTGCCTTTCTTACCTAATGAGAACCGAAGCAACACCACATAATTCTTGTTGTTTAGGAGTCAATAACCTGAAGGGGTATTCAAATGACAAGACAGCTCGACGTACAATCTGCCAGTGTATTGAGCAGGCCGCCCCAACTTATAAAGGGATTGATTATTCCCTTATCAGTGGCCTTCCACAAAAATGTGGAGTTTCAGTGAAGCTTCCTGCCGTTTCTCCCAGTTTCGATTGTTCCAAGTAATTAACTCCATCTCTTTTTACAGTAATGGTTAAAGTATGATTTATAGGTTGTAATTTAACTTCGGTTTCTCTTGCAGGGCGTAAAGAGAAGTCTAAGACCTCAGCAATCGAATAAATGCTATTCTATGAGGATCCACGCATAGTGATGATTCGTTTGCTGAATAATTTCTCGATTAAGAACAAATATTATGTCATGAATTAATAAAGCCTTGTGTTACATACTACTTCATAATAATAAATATTATTGTTGTTCATTGGAGAATTTCTGTTTGGCTCTTATCTTCATGAATTTTATTATCTCAATGAATTTATTCAGAACCTAGATTAATTACTTTCATAGATTTATCAATGACTTGAGTTCAAGTGAATTTAAAAAATAAAATAAATTATTTCTAAATACGGAATGCATTTATTTGTTTTTTTTATATGATATGGAGTGTCTAATTTGTTCTGGAAGGAGATAATTAAAATTCTATACAAAAATGAAAAATCTTATTTAGATTATATTTTGGATTTTGGGCCTCCGGCCCAATAGCCTTTGTCCATCTAACTATTGACTTCAAGACTCAAGTTAAACCATTGTTCTCCTTTGACCTAGGATCGGGGGATCCAATCTCAAAAGACGAAATTACCCTCAATTTGCAATTTTATTTAGACAGCAAGCAACGTACGAACTGTAAAGTAAAAGAACCACACTTAAACCAACTAAAACCCTACTATCTCTGCGATTGGCAACGAGCTTCTCAGTTAAAACATTAACTGGGAGGCTTTTAACTGAGAGGCTATAGGGACATCTAATCTCTCTCAGTATTGATACAGGTAAGTTTTAAAAATCTATCAAAATCAAAATCTTTTAATTTTTTTTTTATTATAATTTCAACTAAACCTGATTTTTTTTTAATGAAATTACAAAATTAATAATTTTTGTAGATTTTGATGTTCATAATTTGTTTCTTCAATTGTAATTGATGTATAGGGTTTTAAGACTAGGAACTCCTTTAGTCGTTTATGATTTATTAGACCATCTCCAACCACAAACACCAAATTGGTATGGGCTTTCGCCATTTTCTGTGCTTTCACGTAACCTGCAGACGTTTTTTTGTGGTGGCACCACCTCATTGGATTCGGGTGGCACGACCAAATCCAATCGGTCTAGCCTTTGGCTGATCGTTTGAAAAGTATCATTGAACTTCTCCAGGTAACTCATGAAGATTAGGTCGAGCCGCGAGCTTGAAGGAATATCCCCTATGATATTCTGTTGTACTGACAACATTTCAGAAGAAGTGTCCTCCTGTACTTGGGGGATTTCTTTATTGTCATAATTAGTTTGCTCAGATTCGAAACCGCGAGTCATTTGTTGTTGTGGGACCGATTAGTCAGAGATTTTTCTAATGAAAAGTAGGTACTAAATCAGGCCCTCCCTTTAGCGCCAAACTACTGATGCTTGATTTTGACACCAATTACTCACACATGTAAAATGCTAAAAAGACTTGGAAGTTACATGTGATATAAGGGGATTGAATTAAATAAAAGGTGAAGAGTAATATTTCAAGTGGTTCGAATGCTCAAAAGCAAATCCTACGTTCACTGCTATTGTATTAATAAGAGAGAGAGGTCAGGTCGCGTTCAGCGAGCTTAGTTACAGTTTTGAGAGAGAATACAAGAGAGAGAGAGAGAGAGAGAGAGAGAGAGCTATTTCAGAGTAAAATTAGCTAATCCTCCACAAATGAGAGAGAAATCCTCGTGGAAGAGTTCAAGGTACTGCTTATAAAAGTTGCAAGTAGATAAGTGTCGTGCAAATCCTTTCTTTGTGTCCCATTAGTCACCTGCCCAAGAGATTTTCTCGACTAAAGCAATATTTTGACACGTGGGCAATCTCTAGTCGCTTGTTGGCCTGATACTCACCTGTTGTACTGACAGGAGCCATACCACTTGCGCTAGGCGCGATGTGGCTATACCTGGATGACATAGAACCCTTCTGAGCTCTAACCATCCTTTATTGACGAAGCTCCAAGTTAGCCTAACTTTTTAAGGTATAACAATAATAAACACTATTGTTGTTCAATGGAGAGTTTCTAGTTGGCTCTAATCTCCATCAAATCCTTTGTTACGTTACTTGGTTCAAAGGCCACAATTTAGCGATTAATGAGGATGTTTCTCTTCATGAATTAAACTCTGGATTTATATAATATTAACATAAGCCTTCAGAGCTTAGATTACTATCACAGTTTATCAATGGCTTGAGTTCAAGTGAATTTAACAAATAAAATAAAATAAGGAGATATTTAATTATATAAAATTCTATACAAAAATGGAAAAAA